GGAAATCTAAACTGCTGCCTTAATTTTTATACCATATCATACCATAGCAAGTACCAGTACCTGGTGGATCATCCCCAAAAATTATTGTTAAAGCCTATACAAACTGCTGAGAGGCCATCATTGGGGAGTATCAGACTGATGCTACAAAGACGATAGTGATGCAAACAAAACGAGCCATAGGCTTTATATACGAAAGTGTAAGCCAACATCTTTACACATGTATCTCACTTTTTGTCGCCACTCTGCTGTAACTGCATGGCTGCAACTTGGACGTGGCTGTGGCATACAAAGTAGTCTACGAGAATTTGCCTACATTTGAGTTTGAATAATAATGACAAACTGTGCACTTTTAACAAGTGACTCACTTTCACAATGCATCTATCTTACATTCCCTGTTTTATAGTTTTAAGATAATCCATTGACTGTCCTGGAATTTCAGCAGTTTTAATGAACACAGTCGAGTAAAGATTGTCTTTAAGAATAAAACTCTTATCACCTTTCCAATAAGGTTGTGTAATTTAGTTAAAGCTGATCATCACAGGGTCATCCTGACTAAAGAAGGCACAATAATACATTAGGGACTAATTAGGGCAAATTGCTACAGTGACCTCTACTATGGTGGTCGTGGATCAGAGTCCTGAAGAGAGTATGTCACTGTTGCCCGTCAAATTTCAACTTTATGCAAGTGGCACCCAAACGTCACTACAGGGCTTCTCGCTCATTTGGTTTCGTTGTTAGTAAAACGCAGCTAAGACTGAATTACCGCCCAGTGAACTAGAAGTGTTAAATACTTTCTTGATTAAGAGAAAAACAATATGATAGGTTTTAAACCAGTGAAAAATAGGGGAAAAGTAGAATTTTATACTCATGTAGAATCGACTATGCCATCACATTTTGTGCTTCGGCTAAAGGTCATTTTCTGGACATCATGCGCACGGCGTCATTTTTGGACTTTGTATTCCCAGTTGCCATACTAGTGATCACTGTAGCCATTTTACTAATTTGGTATTATTGGCATGCATCCTGCCCATGAGGGGCAGTTATTTGGTACTGGTCTGTCTGACAAGTATTTGTCAACCTCTCTGGTTATTTTCCCAGCTGCTCTTTCTTTGCCTCTTTGACATGCGAGTTTCACAAAAGGCTTCAAGAACAGCATTGATGTTTCTTAACTTTGACCTCTCTGAGCATAGTGGCCTGGTGTAACTGGGTGGTGGATCACTGCCCCCCTCTTCATTGTCTTCACTCTCCTCGATAGCATTGTGTAGGTCTAATAAAGCCTTTGTTTTGGCTTTGTCATCCGGAGAAAGGCGTGCCTTGTCCAACACGTCTGTGCGATTCGTCAATTTCTGAACACCAAAAAAAAAAACATATTTAGTCACAGTGGCATGACTACTGTGATAAACATTTAATTAACATTTACTTTGTTCTTCAGAAACAGTTAAGTCTGGCAAAATAGTCAACCTGACTATTTTGAATCTTTAGATTTGGTTCTTGCTCTCCACTCTGAGCAATTTACACTACAAGGAAACCTCGCATATAAATGGGAAGGACACTGTTAACATTAAAAATGTCAAAGGGGATACAGGGTGTGGCACTCGTGCATTCTATAACAATCATAAATTATGTATGCATAAGACAAACATGCAAAGCATGTGTTGTGTCCTTAAAAAATGAAAGACCCTTGTGCCCTTAACCTGAAAGATCCAGGTACCCAGGATAAATGTGTTTGAACAAACTAAGACTTCCTTGTCACCCAAGAGCAACAGTAATGCAACAGGGGGGCACCAGGCACTGCCAAAGCACAGCTCTGTTACAGGACAGGCTAAATAAATCACTAAGTGGATGACTTAAACTATACACATTAGAAATATTTGCACTGCAAGCATTAGCAAAATAATGTACACGCATTTTATCTACCTTTTTAGGTCTCAAATTGGCATCTTGTCCAAACTCTGTGTTCTTCAGGTTTTCCATTTTGCCACCTTACCACGTCTGGGGGGCTACTTCTCTGACTCCAGTACTTAAAAATGGCCCCTAGCAAAAGGAAAGCATGTTAAATGTGCAGGTCTGTAAAAAAGGAATTAAGAGTGCTTCTTGGTGTTGCTAAAAGTATTGTTGGTTTGCTCCTACTTTTGGTGTGGGTATTATTTAGTGGCTTTTCAATCTTTTGTATTTATGTCATTAGGGGATTGCACTTGTCGGCAAAACCAAGAAACTAGAGTGGAACCCCGTTAATACGGTCATCAATGGGCCAAAACATTTTTGCCATATTAATGGGGTGGCGGTATTAATGAGGGTTTTTATTCAAGAAAATGTATGGTGGTTTTTGCCAGGCCGCCAAAAAAGAGTGGCTGTAATAACGAGGTGACTGTATTATCGAGGTAGCCGTAATGCGGGGTTTCACTGTACCAAATTCAAGAAACTTAGAAAAGTGTACAACTTACCTTTTTTCTCTGTTTTGGGCCATTTCTTTTACTCAAAATTTCCCCTCACTTCATTAACCAAAATACCCTCAATGTTTTTGTTCTCCACATCATTATACCTCAAAGAAATAAAGACCAAAAGAAAATGTCAAATATTTATATTAAAATACTAATACATGTATTACATGTATATGTATATTATTGTAACAGCCTGGTTCTAAAAAAACTAGAGAGCTTAAAATGAGGCAGTTTTCTGGTAGTGCATTACAAAGACAAATATTTAAAAAATGAAGGCTGCTTTTATCATTGAATAAAGCCCTTATCCAAGTGCTTGACGCACAATACAAAATTAAAGTGTAACAATATAAAAACACTATATAATTGTCTATTTGATCTCCTTGTGGCATTTTCAAAAATTAAAAGTATCATTGACACAAGCACCATTTTGTCCACTCAAAGAAGGATAAATAGAATTGCAACTTCCCTCTCAAAGATGGGCATCTTACTTGAGTCAATGAAGGCTGCTTTGTCATCAAATAAAGCTGTTACATATATCCTTGTGTTCAAAGCTTAATGACAAATTGAAGTGTAAGGAAATTATATTCCTGAATAATATTCTTGTTTATCTCCTGGTGACTGTTGCAACATTTGAAATATCATTGACACAAGCACTACTTTGTCCACTCAAAGATGGATAAATAGAATTGTGACTTCCCACTCAAAGATGGGCGTCTTACTTGTGTTAATGAAGGTTGCTTTGTCATCAAATAAAGCTGTTATTCTTTTGTTCAAAGGTTAATGACAAATTGGAGTGTAAGGAAAAGATATCCCTCTATAATCTTGTGACTTTTAGAACCTTTCTGCACCATCATATTAAACTTGTCATTGCGCACATACACAAAAAGAAAAGGTTCCTTTTAACCCTACAAGTCTCGTAACAAGTACTACATTTATTTCGATTTTTAACAATTCCCATTGGTCCGTGCAAATTGTATATGTCGTTTTGAATCTAGTAAAGAAATGCACATTGTATGCAAAAAATTAATATGAACATTAAATATTATTTTCGTACAGGTTTATCCTTCTGATAAACATCTACAGTCTCAGAAATTGGAGTGGAAATGTTTTGTACATTTCAGTGTCAAGGAATTTTTATAAAATATTTTTCTGTCATTGATATTTGATTCCGTACTCCGTTCCGGGATTCCGTTTCCTCATTCGAGATTCAATATATTACGGCTGCCATCTTCGCCATTAAAATGTGCATTAGTATACAGAAAAATTCTTTTTCGGTGAAGCAGCAACTATGTCTTTATTGCAAAAGAAAGCAGACAAACACGTGCTTTACAGGTAGATGTTATCAAAGAAACTACAGGCAACATACAAAGGTCAGATCTGTAGGGAGCAACTCGCTGTCGCATGAAACATGTAAGCTTATGTAAGCTCGTATGCGAAACGATTTTTATGATCGACACCCAAAGCTATTACATAGACTTAAATATGCTTCTATATATTTAAACAAGATTCAGAATGTACTTACGAAACAACAAGGATCCACGGTTTGAAATAGGCGTTCTTTCTTAATGGTTGTGGAAACACTCAGTGTGCATTCGAGTCGCCAAGAGTGAACACTGAACTCCTTCGTCACCGCCTCCATGGGATTTGGCGTTTCATTTAAATAGTTTTTCGAACTATTATTCCTCCCTGCAGTCTATCTCCTCAATCTATCACACTCTCCTCGCTCATCTTCACAAAAAAACGGCCCTGCATGTACAAACCACCAAACTGGAAGACGAACCAACAGCTAAGAATGTTCAAAAGGGCGCGCGATTCAAAATTCAACGTGAAAGCGAGGCACGCATGCTCATAAGACTCACGCCTCCAGAGCGAGGCAAAATGTGTGCAAGCGTGTTAAAAAATCATTTATAATTTATTATGCTGTTTCTAAATTGTTTCAAATTACGCTTCAATGTTTGGAGCGTTAATAATTTTAATAACACATCTTTGAATCTCTTAGAAAAGAAAGACAGAGGAAATCATCTATCACTTTTCCAGTATTTACGACGTGTAGTTTAGCGCAGGCGATTATCTCTGTTCTTTCGGACATTTTAGGTTAATGTAATGATTCCTCATCTTACCTGAGGCATAATCAGTACAGTTAAAACAAATTTTATTATATGAGAAACCAGGGATTGATCATGAAAATCAGCGAATTTCAGTACACAACCGCTTGCAGAAACGCAATGGAAACGAGCTGACACGTTTAAGTCGACGGAAGCGCTGCGGAAACACGAAACAATGCCTCCATTTTCATCTTACACGTTTCCCGTCGTAACCGTCCTGCGGAAACGTAACGGAATTTTGAACCATCAAGTTTCCTCAACATTTCCGAATTGCGGAAACACCTTATTTCACCCTGTGATAGTTCAAATTTCTGGTGCTGAAAGCACAACATTTTCTTGAATTGAATATATTAGAACCAGCTGAAGTAGATATTGTGGAAGGCCAACAAGATTTGCCAACACTATCAAGTGAAGATATGATGAAACTTGGTCTGATAACACAGGTTAACGAACATCATTCATCGCTGCCACCAAATTTCACACGCTGATGTCCTTGAAGAGCAGCACAAGGCATTGAAACTGCCACAAGAAATGCTAGAGCTAATGAAAACAAAGCTTGGAATGGAAATTCTTCTTATTTATGAACACTTTATATTGATATTAGGATTTTACATAAGCTTGCAATGTTTTGTAAAATGTTTCAGATTCTACATAAATTTCAAGCATATTTTTTCATACACAAAATCTTGTTTATCCCAGTTATGGAAATGTCTCTTTGACCAGTTACATAGTAATATATTTCATTTTGATTCAGATCCATTATTTTATATTGCATTAAATTAAGTTTTATTATTATCAATTACATTTCATGATAAAATTAAAAACAACTTTGCCCAATTCATAATTGGCATATATTTTCCATTATGGGTAGCACTTATATAATTGAAAGGTTTTTTTCCATTTCACATTACATGTCATCTTCTTGCCTCTTTTGAAAGAACCTTTGACTGAACTTTCAACTGAATAGTATATTCTCCACAAATCCAAATGATGCTATTTGAGCAACACGAAATAATAGATTGTATCACAAAATACTTTACAGCAGCTTCACAGGCATAGTAGCTGTATATAGAATTTTTCTTATTGCTACTAGATATATATCACCTGAGTGAGATAGGCCTAGGGTGGGGGTCACACAGTACTAATTACATTTCTTCCAAGAAAAATTACTCTCCGGCATTACAGGTAGAATTGAGTCTTTTGTTTCTTGCATTCTCCTTTCATTTCTATTATCCATGTAAAACTGAGAGGAAGGATCTATATTGGTATTACAAAATGTAAGTGTTAATGTTGGCTTAGGGGAGGGGTAGGTGGACATTTTCCCAGAAACCTATTATGATCTGATAAGTCGTTACTATTTGGAATCTTTACAACAGGCAGAATTGTACGAATTTTTTCTGGGTCACCTAAAACTGGCCCGTTTGCCGTCAGAAGTGGTTCGATTATGCTGAAACTTTAGGGCTCTGTCAAATCTACCTTACATAGCCGAATAAGCTGATTATTTTACACACAAAGGTTTTAACTCTGATTAACAGTGTCAAAGTTTAATGGTTGCATTCTGTGGAAAGTTGGCTGAGATATGATTTTTTTAAAATGACCTTTAATTTGCTCAGCACGAAAAGTAATTTGCATAACTAGAGCTGAACGGTAATTTCGCAAAAGTGGCACCTGACCCAGACTCAAGTCTATGATAAATCAGAAGTACTAAGACCAGTCTACTTCTTAATGCAATAAAATTTGTGGGTACTCTTCTCTGTTTGCCGTGCAAAGTTCCGTTAATGTTCCAAAATTCGCCATTTTGACAGCAAAGCTGGAATTGTAACGGGTCCGCATCTGATCGACTAATTTCCACAGTTTTCACGTTTCTAGTTATCACCAAATGTCATTAGATCCTTTAAATGTTGAACGTTTGAAGACATGAGGAGAAAACTTGGTAATCGCTTTTCCTTGGGCCTTTTTCTTGTCGACGATGAACGTGAGTTCAATCTCCGTATGCAAATTAGCCTTAGACACGTTGTTTCAACAAATTGATAGGAAATATAATCCTTACATTTCACATTTCTAAGGGGAAAAATAACCCTCCTTTCCACAGAAAAACACAAACCATGACTTAGAATCCCCTTTAGGTCTGTTTTTTCTTTTTTTTTTAAACGAGGAAGAAGCAGCTGAATAATATATCATGATATATGTTTGCGTGGCTTAAAATAATTCAATTATTGTGGCGTGTCACGCATTCCTAAAGAGGGGTGGTCGATTAGAAAACAATCTCGTTGTTTCGATCAATTCTATAATATTATCATCTTCTTTTTAAATGATAGTTATTGATAATAATAAAAAATAAGAGTTCACTTGCAAGGTAAGTCCTCTTGTCAGCACAGGAAAATTTTTGGGCACTCTTTTTTGTGTGCCTGAAAAAATGGCGTTAACGTCGAAAGTTTTATTATGATATTTGCTTATCAGGAGAAGGCAGATCTTTGTACATGGCACTATGATTAAAAACAAATGCCCCAAACTATCTTAAACTAGCAATAAATTTCAGTTTCATTCAAAGATCTTTAAAGCGTATATCGGTAGCAGAATGGAACGGGAAAAATAGTTCCTTTTTTTAGTGAATAAACGCAAAAGGGAGTATCTTTTTAGTTTTTGTTAGGGTATAACATCCGAATTCCAACGATGATCTTGTTTTGGTTTCAATCTGATTGAATTATAATGCAACAGGTGCCAGTTTCAAATATAATTATGTCAATGAAATAAGAAGAGATCAATTGTGAAAAATGGCTTTTTCGGCTATTTCATTAAGCAGTTCTTCCGCGAGATCGCAGACAGTGTGATGTCCCAGTAGGGGTGTGGAGGAAAATGTGTTGGCCACAGAGTGCATGGATGATATTACGTCGCACTTAGCCAGCTGTCACTTGTCTAAGTGTAGCAAGTGTTGCAAAAACATATTCGAGGCTTGGTGGGTATTCGAAACTGAAATGACGATCTGCCCAAGGCACAGATACTAAATAGCCTGTGTACAGACCCCCCTCCCCTCAAGAAAAATCGGAGAAGGGGCCCCTTCTCCGAGGGGGGGTAGTGTGTACACAGGCTAACACTAACATGACAATCTGCCCAAGGCACAGACACCTACTTGGCAGGTTTTTGCGAGCGCCAAGGTCTTGTTAGGCTAGATTGTAAGCCGTTGTTCTGGAAAATGAAACCCAACGGACGGGGAGACGGCGGAAATCGAGCCTAAGGTCTTGTCAATACCCCGGTCACAGTCTGCATCATACTGGCAAAATAACTACTGTGGCAGGAAGACATGTCGTAAATTTCAGCCAGCGAAATAAGTCAAAGTTTTGTTCCATCACGTAAGTATCATTCTTTTTTCTTCTTCATGCAAAAACTTTTCTTAACGTACAGAGATATTCTAATTTCTCTATTTAACACAGGATTTAACATTTTATCTTGCGATGTTTGCTGAAGTTCGTTTCAGTTTATTTGAGTTTGCAAAGATAGTTTTTGTTATTTCTATTTTTTTGACAGCCGTGTATCTTGCCCTAATCAATTCTTACCTTTAAAATACTATAATACCTGTTAATCCGTGTGTTGTAAAAGATAGTTTTCTGATGATTGTTTGAAGAACATTATAAATGGGAAAAAAAGAACTTTCTACACGGAGTCAGGATTCAACCTCGTCCCCAGGGCTTTCCCGCCCCTGCCATTTTCTAAGAAGTCTGATGTCCTGTGGACGAGGCTAGGAGTAATTGTGGTTGAGGTGCCGTTCACGTGTATGAAAAGTATTTCATTCTTGCAATAAAAATAATTTTTTTTGAACTTAAACAGTGTTTAAAACATGTCTCTGGTTTTGTAAAAATTAGTGAGGCTTAAAAGTACCTTAGTGTTCAGTTCAACTTTATATAGCCAATTTGCTCCTTCCGTCGCAAGAAACTTGGAAAAACTTGACGCCGAAGGGTCGAGAAGAGTACGATTGAACAGTCAGCAACCATGTCCACACATTTGCCGGAGAGGTTTATTGGACAAGATTTCTCTGTTTTTCTTGTTTGATAACGTTTTCATTAAGTCTTCAAAAAATGCCTACAGATTACTGTTTTTTTTTTTTGGTTTGTATTTATACCCTCTTGAACAAGGCTCCATCTCATCTCTCCATTTCTAACCTACTTTACCATCCACCCTCTCTCCCCACTGTTCCACGTCTACTTTTACAAGCATTTGTACTTAAGGGGGTGAAATTTCTCCCGTGTATATTAATTTCTGAAAAATTAAGTCCCTCTACTTTTTCCTTAAATTCTTAAACTTAGTTCTTTTTTCTTTACGAACCGCCAAAGATGCTGCTAAGGCTGCAATAAGGGCACTCGCCCTTTTATATACTTCATCTAGTGAAATGCCCACCCTTTCATATACCTGAAGCCGGAAAAAGATACTCCTTTCGGGCGGAACCTTCCCGTATAGGCCATCATAGGGAGTTTCCCCCACCCCCGTTCCAATTCCGTGCTCACATATTGCCAGCCCATGTTGGACTCTATGCCCGTTTGAGTCAACACACAAACATAGTCCTAAGTGTATACAAGTTGAACTTGACCATAGAGATCTGTTGCAAGAAGACGAGGAGTTCGAAAGGCAAAACCTTGTTGCAGAAATCGCTGAAGAATTGACAGACTGAATTGACACCACAACACCCTCAACCAGAAGCTTTCAACCTGTGTGTAATGTCAAAGGAAGAACAACCTAGTCATTTCAACGTGGCAATGCTAACAAAATCTTGTGTCTCTTTAAAATACCATTCAAATCCAGGGAAAGAAAAGGAGACCTAATTGACAAACTTTCGTCTTTCATACAAGATTGCACGTGCTTTTCTCCATCAGCTCAGGAGTGAACATAGGGATCCTTAATTTAGTGTGATTAACAGCCGGCAAAAACTTTTGGGATTTAACAGGAGACGGACTGTAAACAATAACTATGCCTTTTTCGGCATGCCATTCCTCATTTTTACTGAAATGTTGTTGATTGGCGATAAACACAATGCTCTGTTAATAACCACCCTAAAGTTTGTGAGGTAGCCTATAGTTAGCTAGGGATCTAGGAAATGTGTATGCTGCTTAAAGGACTTTGCAGGTGTGGTCGTGTTGTGTCACACGGTATTTCTGAAGTTGTTTGGGAGCTATTTCCAGAATATTAACTGTTAATTCTGTAATTGAAAATATTGTGCTAGTGCTCGTGAATAAGAGTGGCCGTGTCCAAGTGACTACTTTCTAGCTAACTGTTGTCTATTACACCATGGGCTGTCATATTAAACCCTATCCTCACGGTGGCACCCGGGGATACTTCAGTTAAGACGGTCGAAGAATGAATGAATACAACAGCACGGTATTTCCCACGCAGTAAAGAATCGGAATTAACAGTGATTAAATTGTATGATTATCAATAACTATCACTTCAAAAAAAATGTAATATGATAAAAGAACTGATCGATACACGGCCACTCTCGGGGAATGCGTGACGAGCCACAATAACTAAATTATTTTAATTCGCGTAAACATATCTTCTTCTACTGCTTCTTCCCTTAAAAGAAACAGACCTAAGGGGATTCTAAGTCATATATCGGTCGTTTTTTTCCATGGAAAGAAGAGATATTTTTCCCTTAAGGTCCCTTAACAATGTGAAATATAAGCAGTTATATTTCCTGTCAATTTGTTGAAACGACGCATCTAAGGTAATTTGCATACGGAGAATGAAGTCGCGTTCTGATCGTCTACAAGGAAAAAAAAACAAGAAAAAGCGATTACCAAGTTTTCTCCTCATGTTTTCAAAAGTACAACATTTAAAGGGTCTAATGACATTTGGTGATAACTAGAAACGTGAAAACTGTGGAAATTAGTCGATCAAATGCGGACCGTTACAATTCCAGCTTTGCTGTCAAAATGGCGAATTTTGGAACATTAACTTTGTACAGCGCGCAGAGAAGAGTGCCCACAAATTTTATTGCATTAAGAAGTAGACTGGTCTTAGTACTTCTGATTTATCATAGACTTGAGTCTGGGTCAGGTGCCACTTTTGCGAAATTACCGTTCAGCTCTAGTTATGCAAATTACTTTTCCCGCTGAGCAAATTAAAGTTCATTTTAAAAAAATCATATCTCAGCCAACTTTCCACAGAATGCAACCATTAAACTTTGACACTGTTAATCAGAGTTAAAACTTTTGTGTGTAAAATAATCAGCTTATTCGGCAATGTAAGGTAGATTTGACAGAGCCCTAAAGTTTCAGCATAATCGCACCGCTTCTGACGGCAAACGGGCCAGTTTTAGGTGACCGAGAAAATCTTCTTGTAAAATAGAGAAAAAATTGAGTTGGTCCAAATAAATGTGATATTTCTTCTTGTGATAGGATAGTTATCTTCCACTGAAAAAATCAGGGCAATCTGTGATACACCGAAATTTGCCTTATCGGTTCTTACGCGGACAGCCTCTTAAAGCGACAATGGCTTGAATGTTTCAGCCAAGTTTGACAATGTTAGACGTTGAATGATGGCAAACTCACTAGTAGCACTGGAACACAAAATGATTCTTGATATGCGACAATTTGCCTGAAAATCAGATGATTTGAAGGAAAATGTGTGACAAAATAGACTTCTGCAGCTATTACCCATACAGAGAGTCTGACATCATTTTAGAAGATTGCAATATTGATAATGTTAAAGTTATTTAAAGAATTTAGATGCTGACACCGTAAGATACACCTCTGGTGGAGAAAGGGGAATTTTAAAAAAAGGTGTGGCAAATGTCATCTGTCACAGCCTTTCCATTCTCTGGGCCATGAAGGGGGGCCATTGCTGGCTGGTCGTCTTCGTGCAGGAGGTGGCAATTCTGTGGTTCACTCCTCAGTATTGCAATGTTGTGCAATATGGCGCAATCTCCAATAATAAGGCAGACCTTCTCAGGCTTAATTCTTACTTCTGAGTGAAGCAAATGAAACCTTGGCTTCCACCATCCAAAGGTTTGTTCAATGGTCTCCCTAGGCCTTGTAGCTTATGGGCCTGGTTGAATGCTTCCTCATTTACAGATGTATGGTTGAGACATGGGGTCATGAGATATGGTTTACAAGGGTACCCACTATCTCCAAGAAGCAAGCCATCTTCCAATGTGCGGGGCTGAGACTCAAACCTCTGACCAATCAATGAACTGCTAAATACGAAGCTGTCAAGTGTGCTACCAGGCCATCGTGCAACGATGTTCGTAAACGTGCCTAAAGAAATTTCAACAATAAATTTTGTACTTTATTGTGTCATTCCATAAAGTATCCATACCTCCCGTATTGAGAGTTTTTATTGATTGTTAGAGACTCCATCCTTCTAGAAATTCCATGGTTAAATTTCATAGATTTCTGATAGGTTTTTTGGATTTGAGCCCCTCTCCTTCCAATCGATATCTTTTTGTTTGAAGAGGACGAAGATATCTGATTTTTTGTGGGCCTCAAGCTAGGCACTGTAGTATAAATATAATATTTAGACTACTTAAGGGACCAGTCATTATTTATCGCCGGGGGGGGGAGGATTTTAGTGGAGGGATCACTTAATTTTGAGGAGAACAAAAGGGGGATCACTGAAAACTTTGGAAGGATTCAGAGGGGGACCACTCAAATTTGCTTGGAAAATGAAGACATGGGGGGGATTGCAAAAGTCATCTAAAGTTGTTAGGGGGGATTACTTCAGTGGAGTAACATTCAAAGTAGGGATCAGCTAAATTTCACCTTGTTTAGTCCCAAATCCTCCGTGCCCCCAGGCGATTAATAATTATAATGACCGGTCCCTTAGCTCTATTTTTTTTTTTACCTATGTTTATCTACGTTCTGCCCAAAGATAATTGAATTCAAACATCTGAGTGAGATGACAAGCATGTCAATTGTCAACTCTTTTATGGGGTCCCTACCATAAAAACATACTACAGGGTTGATTA